CGGATAAGTACGTCCGAGATGTTCGAACGGCAGTCATGCTCGTCGATTAAAAGCGAATGCACCAGGTCAACTGTTATTGAAGATCGACCGCCTCGCCGCGTTCCGAGTAATCGTGCCACTCGTACCAAGATCAAACAGTGCCCGATGAAAATTAATAAAACTCGTTGTCATGCTAAAATATACGATTGAGTGTTCAGAGTTCCTGTGATTCCATAAACGTCGATTTAATTCCATTGCCTCTGGTTAATCAGCGGTGTATCGCTAAGTGGATTTGTGTATCAGTGCATTTTTTTTATCAAAAGCAGATTGCGTAACTTTGGCAATTTCAATTGCTAGATTGATTATATAGATTAATTAATGATATTGGATTAATCGTAATATTCGATTGCTCGGCTGCTCGATTGCATGATCGACAATTTCGTTATTGTAACTTGTTTTTTTATTATTGGTAAAGAAATAAACTTTTGCATTTGTACGGCGTGTTGGGTTAAATAAAATATCCAGGACACGGTAGTTATATTTGGTGAAAACAATGAAAATTCGATGACCCCGAATGCCATTATAGTTGAAAGGCGAAAACAAAAATAGCACGTTCGTGCGAATCGACTTGCGCGATCGCGAGCGCAACAGTCGGTGTTCGTTATTAATCGAAGTAGGACACGGAGTGCAGGTGACATATAAAACAGATAACACCACAATAATACATGTTGATAACAAATAAATTGATTGAGCAATTAATTAATTAAAAGCAATCACGTTCAATAATTATGAAAAACGATAAAAGAGTGATCGTGCACAATTAAATATTTTTACGCGAAAAAAAGTATAAACGATAAACACCCAAGTTTTGAAAATTATCATCTCGTCGTGCAGAATTTTTAGTAGAAATCATGGAAGTCGAAGTTGTACCTTTCATTGACAATAACTCGGACAGAAAGGACACCCTGCACCCACGACGAGGTAGCAGGGTACAAATTGTGCAGAAAAAAGGGTGAGAGACACTTTCGACACGATGAAATAATTTAAAAAACTTTTATTTGTTTCGATGCAACTGATTTTTAATATACTCATGTAAATTGACTCATTTGTCAGATGACGATTTTATATTATCGCGACATAAGATAAACAACGGCTGGTACCGTTCTTTATTTCAGAACATCGCTTTTCATCATCATGAGCTTTATCTACGCGAAGTTGCTTGTAGTCGTGTGCATCGCTTACGTGATAAGCGAAGTGGTAACGCACAAGCTGCCGCTGTACTACTACGAGGGATTCTTCACGTACCTTTACGGCATGAGTATCCTGTTCCTGTTGTATGTCTTCTGCTTCCTCCTTCAAGAGAGCGCCTGCTGTGCGAGAGGAAGTGACACACCGCCGCCGCCACCGAGACCGCCTAAAGCTGGTTGGGCTCCTAAGGAACCTAAAGACAAAAACAAGAAAAAGGACAAGAAGGATAAAGATCAAAAACAGCCAAAGCAGACGAAAAAGGAAACCCAGGTTCTCTAGAAATATTTGCTTGTTATAAGGAACAAAAAATTCATATCTAATTAATAATTCCAATAAAGAGGGGAAGAGAGAGAGAGAGATAGAAAGAGAGAGAAAGATTGATATTGTATTTTGATTCAATTTTTCTGAGTATTGATGTATATTCTTTCAATTAATTTGCTGTCTATTTTTATTTAATTATTTTTAATAATTTTTTGTATTTTAGAGTTTTTTTTTAATTTTGCATTATTCCTTATTTCATAATAAATCGTAATTCCCGAAAAAGCAATAAAATTACTTACAGTGAACTATATAATGTGAAGTGTCCACAACAATGATTCATTGCAACAGGTTACTTTCGAGCGAGTTTCACGGTTACGACAATGGCATGTTACCCGTGAAATATATTTTAGTTAGCACGTTAGCGTTACGCGAGTATTCTTGATATAATCAGGTTAATCGCTATTTTTTATTTAGATCATCTTCTCTTAACTTTTTTCAAGTCAGATAAAAAATCCTGGTCTAATTGTTTTTTATTGTTGTAATTTTAACAAAGAAGATTTAGAAATAATTATTTTTTTATATTATATCATTCATTATATCATTTTATATTATATTCTTAGAATCCATTAAATATAAATGATGTAAAATTAATTAAATTTTAAATTTCTGAAAATATATTTTTTGTCTACTTCTAATGTACTTCTAATATATTTTGATTATATTAAAATATAATCGTGAAAGATACCGTTTCTTTGTAGGACGCGACCGATATTGAAGCTGGTGTAGCTACACGAGCTTTGCGAAAACGAAAGACTTCGCAAAATGATCACAGCCATGGAAGCTTCTTCCTCAGAATTGGTGCGATAGGTAAGTTTGTAATTCTCGATAATATTCAAAATTTTTTTTAAATCTATGCAAATCATAAGCTAAATTAAATGTACATAATTTGTCAGCTTTTGGACTGGGTACCATGGTATACAATGGTTTGGAATTCGGTGCATTCTTCGAGGTGCCACCTACATCACCCTGCTATCAAATATTACAAGGCGTCAATCCAGTGTTGCAAATGATCTTCACCTTTATGCAGATGTACTTTATCTTCATGAATTCTCGGGTATGTATTTTGAAATTGCAAAACAAATGACAAACAGAGACGAGATAGTTAAAAATATGCAAATTACGACATTTTTTTCGCAGTTGAACATTCATCGCTTCAAAGTCATCGCTCGCTTCGGTCTGATGCATGTGGTCGCGACGAATCTCTGCGTGTGGATACGCACGCTGGTTCTGGAGAGTCTCAAGGAGATCACTCAATATCACAAAAAACTAGGCCAGGTTCAGGCGGGAATTCTCGGTAAGCCATCTGTATTTACAGAGTTTATCGGTATCACCACGTTCAAACTATCGAAGTGATGATATGTCAAGTTCAAGTGCTTTGGCGATAAAGAATCCGATCTGTTGTCATATCGATGCGCCGACATTTGTAGAGAGCATCAAGCAGCACTCGATGCGAAACGCCGGGGCCATATTGGGTACCGAGCCGCGCGACATAGCACAATTACGAGAGGCTCCTCTTACGGCCTCTACGAGGTCGACGACCGTCGCGCCCACTGTCATCAGCACCGTCGTGACTGTCGGCACTGCTCTGGGCCGCGTGATGACAACGACAGCGAGATCGATCGCGGATGCTTTCACTACGCCAGCTACTACAACGTCCACCTCGACCACCTGGACGACCCCCCCGTGACGACGACGACGCCGTCGACCACCACCTTCTCGTTGCCTAATCTGACGGCCAGCACGGCAACGACACTGTCCACTCTCTTGACCACGTTCACTCCGTCGACTACTAGCACCACCAGCACCACCACCACCACCACCACCACCACCACCACTACCGAGAGGATCACCACTATTCCGACTACAACAAGCACCAGCACTACAACCACCACGCCGTCCACTACTACACTTTGGTCGCAGATTATGGAGCTCATGAACGCGCCTCAGGGTGACATAGATAATCAAGTATGGATTATGTTCAATTGCATCACTGTGAATATGATGAGGCGATGCGTATTGAAATTAAAGTCCTTTTTCCTATTTGTCTTTAGGTACCGCAAATCTTTGACGTGAGCAACTTGACAAACAGCAGCGAATACTGGAGCCCGAATTTAGGTATTTACGCGGAGGCTCTGACGGAAGATGGCACAGTGTCCAATTCTTGCGGGCGCGTTAACATCATGGGAACCATCGTGCAGGACGCGGCGCCGTATCTGTTTCCATTTATAATCGAGTACAGTCTGATCGGAGCCGCGGTGATCTACGTCATGTGGAAGCATATCGGCCGACATCCGCGCTGGCCTCATCAGGCTGAGGCTGATCTTGAACGTCGTCTGGAGGCCATGCTATCTCGAAGAGCCGTCGCTCTTGCTCACGCAGGTAGTTTCGTTTTCTTCCCCATTCCTTGATCGTTTTAATTTCAATCATACATAAGCCAAACCTTTTTTTCTTGTGTATTCATATAAATATGCATAATTAATCTGTTCAGTTAAAAATCAAATTGTCATAAAAAATTATCAGGTCATACCAGAGTTGATTGCGTGGGAGCGAGCAAGGGTCTCTTCTTCGGTCTGCTCCTTCTGGTTGGCTCCTTGATATGCCTGATACTGTTCTTCGTGCTGATCCATCACCCGGAACTCGGATTGCTCGCGATTTATCTCGCCGATGTGTCTCATTGCGTCCTAATGGCGTTATCCATCGTCGCCATAATCATCGGCTTCATTCGCGTGCAGGGTCTCAAGTTCAAGGCCGAGGAGCAGAGCGATCTGAACGACATCCTGCTGCGCGTCTCCGCCTTCGGTCTCTTCGTCTACGCCGTATTCAGCGTGATCGCCGGCTCCCTGGCGGCCTTCACCCACGAGCCGAATCTGCTGGTGATGGTGACGGGATTACTTTCGGTCGCCCAGGTGGTCCTTCAGATGCTCTTCATCGCCGATGTATCGCGCAGGCGTGTTCACCTGCCGGAGCATGATCGCAGCAAGCCCGGTAGACAAGTGGTTACCTTCTTGCTGATCTGCAACGTGACCATGTGGGTGATCTACACTTTCGAGACCCAGAAGGTCATCGCCAACCCGGTGCAGCTTGATTTCTACGGATTCCTCGCTTGGGCCATCGTGCAGAGGGTCACTCTACCACTGTGCATCTTCCACAGGTTCCACAGCGCCGTGACGCTCGCCGAGATCTGGAAGACCAGTTACAAGGCACGTCTGGAGTAGACGAGCGGGGTGTCCCGTCATAGTCAATCGTCCGGAGTGGTCGTCGGTTGGAATGAAAGAGCGAGCACAAGAAGGTCAGGATGCTCGACGACCTCGATCACGTACATCGATTTCGGGTCTCGAAGAAAAGCCGAACGTTGAGGACAGAGAGAGAGAGAGAGAGAGAGAGAGAGAGAGAAGAGAGAAGAGACA